GACAGACGGAACACTTGGGGCTGCTGGGAAATCCTGGGAAATCTCCTAGATGAGTCACTTACCTTTCTGAAAGAGTACACTTACTTGTAACACGGAGAAATATATTTCTACCTTGCTTGAGCCATGGTATTTCTTTGTTACACAAGTTTGTGGAGATTTAGAAGTTATGGTTAGAAATAATTTTCCTTCGAAATTTTTGATGTGACTGTCTAGATATCCAAAATCTCATTTGATTTTTTAATCAAACCTGTTTTTTTCTACTTTTATATTTTGTTTATATCTAGGAGCTCCAGAGTCTTTCCTGTAATTAATTGTTCAAATTTGAACCTATTTTCATTCCTTGTGCTGGATACTCATTGCACAAACGTTCCTTCCTTCCCATCTCCGTTCCCTTTCCTTCCCTTCCCTTCCTTCCTTCCTTCCTTCCTTCCTTCCTTCCTTCCTTCCTTCCTTCTCTCCTTTCTTCCTTCCTTCCCTCCCTCCTTCCCTCACTCCCTCCATCCTTCCTTCCTTCCTTCCTTCCTTCCTTCCTTCCTTCCTTCCTTCCTTCCTTCTCTCCTTCTTCCTTCCTTCCCTCCCTCCTTCCCTCACTCCCTCCATCATTCCTTCCTTCCTTCCTTCCTTCCTTCCTTCCTTCCTGGGATAGAGCCCAGGGCTGCATGTACTTTACCAATGAACCACCCCAGCTTCTTTCTCTCCCTCTTTCTAGACTTCCCATCATTCATACTTTGGACTTTCTGTCTAGTTCACTAACATTTTTTTCTGTTTTATTTTATATTTTTTCTGTTATCTGGAAAATGTTCTCAAATTTATATTCTAAATAATCCATTAATTTTATAATAATTCAAATACATATAGAGGTCACACCCAGCCATGTCAGGTCAGAATGGTTGGTTGGTTATCTGCTTGAACGCAGGGTCTTGCTCATGCTAGGTATATGCTTGACTATTTGAACTGCAACCCTGGCTTCCTGCTACCAGTTCTTGTTTGTTCTATAAATATTTTGTTTCTATGGCATCTTGTTCTGGTTTCAACCATAGAATATAATATTTGGGGTGTGAAAGGAGTAAGAAGCTGTTTGAAAGCCCTGAGTAAGCAGCCTGGATTATTGACTTTGAACTTCCTTCTCAGGTCATCTGACCATACATTCTTGTGCCCAGGGATGTGGCTCAGTGGTAGAACACCTTGGGCACGTGGCCATGCATGGCACGAGTTCAATGCCTGCTAGTGAGCACATTACAAGTGTGAGATTCAGATTTTCCAGCATTACTGTCAGCAGTCAAGTATGTGCGCCTTGCAACTAAGAGTGTGACCCGAGTACACCACAACTGAGTGTGAACCTCCAGTGCTTCTCAACAACACTAACAAAGCACCAACAAAAGGGAAGGGGGCAAAAAGCAAACCATTTGCAAAGGCTAAACTTGACGGCTCCACAGAGCTCCAGCAAGGAAAACCTCTGGCGACAATGACTTACAGGTGGATATGATAGTAATTTCAGTGATTAGAAACACAAGAAATACTTGTCTAGAGGCTGGAGCTATAGTACAGCATGTATGGTGTTTGCCTTGCACAGGGCCCACATAGGTTCGATTCCCAGCATGCCATATGGTCCTCTAAGCACCGCCAGGAGTAATTCCTGAGTGCAGAGCCAGGAGTAACCCCTGAGCATTGGCGGATGTGACCGCCCGCCCCCCCCCCAACAACAACAAAAAAAGAAATACCCTTGCAATTTATGTAAGAAGGATAAAGATAACAAAGTGATGTCAAGAGACAATCTAAAGGACTTGGGAAGAAATTCAGATCAAAGGTAATAATTGGGAATTCCACTTGAAGAGACCAGAGGAGATAAATGATAGAAATATGTATCAAACCAGGGTTTGAGTCTTGATAACAAAAGGGCCCACTCAATTCTTATTGCAGATGCTCAATAAATTTTTGTGTAATCAATTCATTTTTAGAAGAGACCTATCCCAAGAACTCATTGCTAGTTTTCATAAAACCTAGATGGGGTCTCAAGAAGTTACTTTGTCACTAGCCGCCTGGGCACTACTATTGGTGCATTGGGGGTGAGGGAGAGTGCTTAAAAACCAAAGGATAGTGAGGCACCCAGCAATCAAATCTTCCTGAAAAGAAACTCATGCTTTGGGTGTTTTTGTCTAAGACCCAAACTATTTCTAGGAGTTGAGGAGACAGTTCCAGAGACTAGATAGCAGACTTTCAATGCAGGAGCCCTGGGCTCTATTTCTGGCAAAGAAGGAACCCCCAAGGCAGGCTGCCCAGATCACCACCAGGGAGGAACTGTAAACAATTCTACAATGATCTGGTTTCTCCTAAAGATTTAGCTCCTCAGACTTTCTCCTTAACCTGCCATTTTTGTTGTTGTTTGGAGGGGGTACACCCCTAGCAATGCTCAGGAATTACTCCTGGCTCTGTACTCAAGAATCACTCCTGGTGGTGCTTGCAGGGCCAGATGGGATGCTGGGGATTGAACCCTGGTTGGCTGTGTATAAGGCAATCACCTTACCTGCTTTACTAGCTCCCTACCCCCTTAACTTCCAGTTTATACTTGGTCTCTTATACTGAAATTTTTGGCTCAACTCAAACAGCCTCACACGCCAGCCCTGCTCCATGGATTCCAGTTAAATCTCCCAGGAGAAACACACCAAGCAGCTAAAATGTATGGAATTACTAGGCCCCATGGCTGAAACCTCCGGGACACCTCTGGGAGATGAGTGGGCAAGTACTGGCCCCATCCTTACCCATACCCCGCTACTCACTGCAACCATGCCAATGGCTAACTCCACAGCTTCGTGAATATCTCTGCAGAGATGCCAATCTCTAAATAATTTCAGGTACTTAGGTACCTTCGAGGTCCAGGTGGGAAGCCTTCCCTCAACCCCTCATACTTCCGAAAGCTGGGGTCCCCCCTCAACAGCCCCCCATGTGGACTCATTGGCCCAGATCATAGATTCTGAAGTCTCTGGACAAGCAGCTGAGACACCTTCTAAAGTAACAAACAGCTTAATCAATTCTTAGGCAAGGACTTAACAACCCTGAAATCAGATATGACAATTTTCACATAAATTGATTTTATACCTATTGATTTTAAATATTGCAGCTTTGGTATCCAAACAATTTTAATTCTAGAATTGTATCAACACTTGTAGATTTTTTTTCTACATTAAATTTCTTTTTTGGGGCTGGAGCGATAGCACAGAGGGTAGGGTGTTTGCCTTGCACACAGCCAACATGGCCGACCCGAGTTCGATTCCTCTGCCCCTCTCGGAGAGCCCGGCAAGCTACCTAGAGTATCTCGCCTGCACGGCAGAGCCTGGCAAGCTCCCCGTGACGTATTTGATATGCCAAACACACTAACAACAAAGTCTCACAATGGAGACGTTACTGGGCCCGCTCGAGAAAATCGATGAACGGGAAGGCAGTGGCAGTGACTCAGAAATTTCTTTTTAAAAAAATGAACAATGAAAAGCTTGGCTCTGAGCATTAGGATAATTATTTCCATTATCTTACTTTACAGAAAATATTTCAAAAGATGATTACGTGTACTAGCAATACATGCTAGATTAAATTTAAGGTCTTTTTTCCTCCCTTCTTTCTTACAGGGCCTGCTCACCTGGTTTCCTAGGATATGCAAGAACATTTTCCAGCAATTGAACTACAGGGCTGGGCCAAGCTTAAGGTTTCTTTACATAAACTCTGGCGTGTATACACTGCTGTGATGAACAGGGTGAACATAAGATCTTAAACTTTTTTGATAAAGGCACCTTTTCTGCCAAGGTTGGCAATGATAGCTCACAGAACAAAGAAAAAAAATCCTTTTTTCTCGAGCTTGAAAGGGAACCCATCGTGGGAGACACACCGTCAGTGCAGTTACAGGTTACCCATAGCTCTGATTAAGAGCTGAAAGGATGGATGCCCTTTGAAGACGATTTGTAGCTGTGTAACTTTCCCATCTTTCAACTCTCTTGTAAAACAAAAACAGACTCTCCTAAGTGGGTTTTCTGAAGCACAAGAAACATACCCTTGGTCGTGGGCTGCATTGCTTTGAAGCTACGAGTGCAAGGAAGAGAGTAGCACGAGCCGGTTACAGAGTCCGGGCGGACCCTCGGCCTTAAGTGACCCGCGAAAACTGGAGAGAACGGCCAGCAGAAGGAACCATAGGTTACAGAAAGCCTGAGAAAGAAGGAGCACTGTGGCTCCCGATAGTGCCACCGCCCGGTGAACTCCCCAAACCCAGGGAGGTCCCCAAATCCTAATCTGGATTTTATTTGCAGAGCAAGTAAATTGACTTGGAGGAGGGCACTTGTGCAAGGAAGTTGGATCTGGAGAGTGGAGGGGATTAAACTAAGAGAAGAATTAGGCAGCGCTCAGAACTGGGCGGGACCGCCCCAGAGGGCTGCGCCCCGCAAACCCTAAGCCTACGATAGACTTTGCTCCCAGCCCGCAGATACCAGTTGAGGATTTAGTCCGACCTCCCCGCTTCCGGAAGCCGCCCAGGTGGGCGGGGCCTCTGCTTTCTCCCGCCGCAGATCCTCCCACCTGGGCCGTCCTCGAGGAGGGCGGGACCTCAGCCTCCTCCCACCACCGAGGCTCCGCCCACCACGGCAGTTTCCCCGCCCCAAGGGCGGGGCCTCAGTTCCTTCTATTATGGCTCCACCCACCGTGGCCGCCCTGCTACCACTTCCCTGTGGGCGGGGCCTCGGTCTCCTCCCGTCGTTGGGCGGGATCTCAGCCTCCTCTCGCCGAGGCTCCGCCCACCACCGGAGCCCTCTCACCGTCGTGGGCGGGGCCTCAGCCTCCTCCCATCTAGGCTCCTCCCACCACCGCCGTCGTTTCCCTACAGGGAGGCGGGGCCTCCGCCTCCTCCCATCGAGGCTCCGCCTACCACCACCGCCCTTTTCCCCGTCGTGGGCGGGGCCTCCGCCTCCTCCCATCGAGGCTCCGCCTACCACCACCGCCCTTTCCCCGTCGTGGGCGGGGCCTCCGCCTCCTCCCATCGAGGCTCCGCCCACCGCCGCCTCCACGCCCCTTGCCGGGTCGGGGTCCAGGCGCTCTGGGGTAGAGGTCGGAAGCCATGGAGGGTGGCTTGGGGCGCTGCGTGTGCGTGCTGACCGGAGCCTCCCGAGGCTTCGGCCGGGTGGTGGCCTCGCTTTTAGTTCCGCTGCTGTCTCCCGGCTCCGTGCTGGTCCTAAGCGCCCGCAGCGACGAGGCTCTGCAGCAGGTGGAGAGCGAGCTGGGCGCTGGGCGGCTCGGCCTGCGAGTGGTGCGAGTGCCCGCCGACCTGGGCACGGACGCCGGCTTGCAGCAGCTGCTGAACGCCATGCACCAGCTGCCCAGGCCGGAAGGGCTGCAACGGCTACTCCTTATCAACAACGCGGGTAAGAGTTCAACGCGGCTTTGAGACCTCGTGTGAGCGCTTGCAACATCGCTTAGCGGCCCCTGGTCCCGTTCTCGCTCCTTCGCCTGGAGATGTAAAGGTGACTCCCCGGAGCTAGCGGAAGACTTGGAAGTGCGGGTGGTTTCGGCTGGGCAGTTCTCTTCATTCCTCACGCCCCGCCGGGCTGCCAGGCCGGGTTTTGGAGTCTGTACAGTTTTCCTTGATGGCCTCGCCCGCGCCCTCTGGCGGAGGCCTGAGTCAGGGCACCAGGTCTTCCTGATGCCAGGCTACTCCAAGGCACCCCCTAGGAGCTGGGCATGTCTTCTTAGTATTTGCTCCTGGGGGCGATGGATTCCCCAGGTCCCATGGCTGAGCTGGGACGAAGCTCCGGGGAGATTACTGATCTAGGTCTGGATGGTAAAGAGGGGGTCTAGAGAAATTGGGAGAGGACTGGAGGACAGAAAGAATGCCCCGTCCTGGTCTGGGTGAGTCCTAAGGTCCACTTTCTACTTCCAGGCTCTCTTGGGGATGTGTCCAAAGGCTTCGTAGATGTGGCTGATCCAGTGGAAGTGAACAGCTACTGGGCTCTGAACTTAACCTCCACGCTCTGCCTGACATCCAGCATCCTGAAAGCCTTCAGAGACAGCCCTGGCCTGAGCAGGACAGTGGTCAACATCTCATCCCTCTGTGCCCTGCAGCCCTTCAAGGGCTGGACACTCTACTGTGCGGGGAAGGCAGCCCGGGACATGATGTTCCAGGTGCTGGCTGCAGAAGAGCCCGGGGTGAGGGTGTTGAGCTATGCCCCTGGTAAGTGGAGCCTGACTGCCAACCCTCACCCCCCCCCCCCCGCCGCTCCCCTCCGGGAGCTGGGCAGGGTGTGCACAGAATCTGTGGTCCCTTATGTCCGTCTCTCCTTAATGAAACTAGGAGCTCCTGGAAGTGCAAGTCAGGAGGGAATCAAGGATGGGAGGTGTGGGAAGCATGCCGAGCTGCCCAGACTGCAGGTTGAGAAAATCTGAGATGGGGGCCAGAGAGATAGTACAGTGGGTAGGGCACTTACTTTGTATGCAGCTAACCGGGTTTGATCTCTGGCATCGCATATGGTCCCCTGAGAACCACCAGGAGTGATTGCAGAGCACCAGCCTCCCCTCAAAACACCCCCCCCCCAAAAAAAGGACTGATAATGTTTCAGAGTAGGTTAGTGTGGGTTAGGGTTTGCAGTCCAAACCTGGAACCACTTCTTCAGTGGTAATAGGAAAGATGCTACTTGACTTAGGGTAGGTAACTTTGGGGGTGGGTGGGTGGAGGGCATACATGGCAGTGCTCAGGACTGAGTCCTTGCTCTGTTCTCAGGGATCACTCCCGGCAGGACTCAGGGGGCCATATGGGATAGTAGGGATCAAACTTGGGTCAGCCATATACAAGGCAAGTGCCCTACCACTGTACTATCTCTCTGGCCCCCTCAAGGGAGGTAATCTACACCCAAATGATCCCCAACTCTGGAATGCTGCCTGCTGGTGGGCGCTTGTACTGTTGAACAGTGCTGTGGTCTGTTTCCTTCGATGTTGAATTAGAGCCCAAGGGTGTTCAACTTGTCCGTGGGCTAGGATGGACTGGATCTGGAGTCTCCACGTGCCTCTCACAGAGTGGGGGGTCTCTGTGTGCTGGGGTTCCAGCCCTGGGGCTAACTGAAGGGGGAGGAGTAGGGTGGATACTTTTCCTACCATCCTCAATGCAGACTTTCTTATTGATATGCTTCACCCTGCAACCTCTTCTGGAACCCAGGACTCTTGTGAAGGCATTTTTGTGTGCAGAGACTTGCTCAAATGACTGTGTTGGGGGGCTGGAGCGATACAGCGGGTAGGGCGTTTGCCTTGCACGTGGCCAACCCAGGTTCGATTCCCAGCATCCCATATGGTCCCCTGAGCACCGCCAGGAGTAATTCCTGAATGCAGAGCCAGGATTAACCCCTGTGCATTGCTGAGTGTGACCCAGAAAGCAAAAAAAAAAAAAGACTGTTGGTGTTGGCAATGTCGGTGCTGACATTCTGCAAGGATGTGTTAGTGAGACGACCATAGCTGGGGACCATCAAGGGTGCTGAAACAGGTGAGCATCAGGCTTGTGTTTGTGTTCAGGACCTGATTGCCTGGATATGCAGAAGAAGCCCCCCTCCCTCACAGTTGGCTCTGAAGGCAGAAGGGAAAGGAAAGAGGAGGGATAGGTGGAAAGGTTCATCAATAGCAGAAATGGGAAAGGCAGGACAGGTGCTGACAGGGTAAGAGCTGGAACGCTTGGCTGAGGTTACAGTGGTCTGGAGGGCCCATGTTGAATGGGCATTGGAGTGTGCATATGTGTGCATGGGCATACGTGTGTATGTGGGTGCATATGCATGTATATGTGTGTGCATGTGTGTGTGCATGTGTGTGTACCTGTGTGCTTGGGCTAGATTCAGTGGTGCTTGGGCTTCTCCCTGCCTCTTTACTTAGAGATCACTCCTGGGGGTACTTGGGGGGACGTTATGCAGTACCAGGATTGAACTAGGCTTAGTCTTATGTAAGGCAGGTGCCTTAAGCCCTTAACCCTTGAACAATAATAGAGCAGAAACTTTGATGATGCTGAGGCACTCATGCCAGCCAGGCTGGGGTGCGGTCTCTAGCCAGACCTGACTCCACCTCCCTCTACACACACGGAACAACGTCCCCTTCTCCCCTTCATCTCCTAGGCCCCCTGGACACGGACATGCAACAGTTGGCTCGGGAGACTTCTGTGGACCCAGAACTGAGAAAAAATCTGCAGGAGCTAAAGACCAAGGGAGGTCTGGTGGATTGCAAGATGTCAGCGCAGAAACTGCTGGGCTTACTGCAAAAGGACAAGTTCACATCCGGAGCCCACATCGACTTCTATGATGAATAAATAAGCTCATATGCTGGCTTCTGGGAGTTTTCTTCTCTTGGGCAGTGCCCAGGACCCCTGTGTGTGTCCCTCCCCACACCAACCCCCATCCTGCCTTATATAAGTCCTTGCTCATGTGCCTGCATTCCTATGTGTGTACCTGTGTGTTTTGGTTACATCTAATGGTGCTCAGACCCCATCGTGATTGTGTCATCGGGTTCAATGGAGTGCCCCGTCTCTTTTGAAGCCCTGAGTAAGGAGGAGGAGGCTTGGAAGTCGGAACTATTCGTGTTTCTCTTCTCTCTCACTGGCAGCCGAATTTTAGGCAAGGCAAAGGCAAGACGAAAAACTGAAACCTGGAGAGAGGAGGTTGGGTCTCCTGTACGTGGATGAGGAGGGTGAGCTGGTGTCCTGCAGGAGAACTCCATAGACAGTAGATTCAAGATGGCCTGGGGCGGGCGGGAGTTGGCAGGAGTCAGGATGGGGTGCAAGTGCCTGCCCACGGAATGTCTATAGCTCAGGATAGCAGGGTCTTCATTGAACGTCCTGTCCTCATTCTAATGCTACCACCCTCCAGAACCTGCTGTCTGTGCCCGTGGAGAGGGACAGGGCCCTGGAGCCAGATGAAACTGGTTGTCCTTTATTGGTTTCTTCTCCTCCTGCTTCTCTTCTCCCAGCTGTGAAGAAGTTTATACAAATGCATGGTGCTAGCCTGATTTCTTGGGGGAATTGTCCAGGGTTTTCTGCCTCTTTGGAGTGGGGCGGGGCATATCCAGGGGTGTTCTGGGCTCACTCCTGGCTCTATGCTCAGGAATCACTCCCCTTAACCCACTTTTTAACTCTCAGACCCCCCCTCCCTCTTTTCACTGAGCACTGCCCTGATGTCCTAGGCAAGTCTCACGAGACCAGCCTGCCCAAGTACCCATTCCTTCTTCATGCTTCACTCCTTATTCCTTATCTTTTTTCTTTTTGGGGGGGAGATGCTGTTGGGTTGGGAGGTGTATAACTTGCAAAATATCAGGGGTTACTCCTGGTTCTGCTCTCAGGAATCACTCCTGGTGGTGCTTGAGGGACCATATAGGATGCTGGGGATATAACCTGGGTTGGCCACGTGCAAGGCCCAGTGTCCTCTCCCTCCGGCCCCCTCCTTTCCTCGCCCTTGGCCAGGTCAGCAAGTCCAGCCTCGGGCCTGACTCCACATAGCTGCATCTTTTCCTTGTCTCTCTCGAAGTCCAAAATCCATCCTTCCTGCATATGGCCGTGCTCTGCCTGGTTCCTGCCCCCCAGGAACCTGGGTGGGACCCCTCCTGATCATGTCCATCCGGTCACAATCCTGATCCTCAGTTTGGGGTACATGGGGAGGTTCCAAGGAAGGAAGAGCCTAAGAAGCCAGGGTGCAACCAAACCATCCTGACAACCGAGAGACGTGGGCTTGGCTGAGGGTCTCCAGCCACGGAAGCCAGACTGCTGTAGGGGGAGAGGATGGTCCCAGCCAGCTGTTTCCTGGATTCCCTCCTGCCAGGAGAGAACTCAGACCCTTTGCTCCTAGTGCCCAGCAGAGGGCGCAGAAAGCCCGGTTTATCCAGACTCCCGCTCCCACGGATGCTGAGCGTGGAGCCCAAGAGCTCTCTTCCCTGGGCTGGAGTCAAAATCACTCCCAGCCTGCCTGCAGGGACGCCACTTCTCTTTGTTTACCTGTCCAAAAAATTCCTATTAGAATAGATCTTTCTTCAAAAAAAAATCAATAGGGTTACTATTATTACTCTTTTTGCCCCTAAGTTTCGGGGCCACACTGGGTGGGTAATCAGAGATGACTCCTGGCAATGCTGGGGATCAAGCCAGGACCAACAACTTGCAAGGCAAGCAACCTAAAACGCTGTATTATCTCTCCTGCCCGGTTTATTATATTGTAATGAATATTATATATTCATTCTATTTATTTCTATATTAATTCCATTTGACAAATATGATGAGAGGTCCCCATGCCTGGCTTTGCAGGGACTCTCACCATACTCGGGGTTCCCAGCTTGCCATAGAGCCCACAGCAAGGTGCCTGGGATAAGGAGTCTCAGGCAGGGCTCCCCTCTGGGCACCAGAGTCCTCAGAACAAACTCAGATTTCTTCCTGCAAGCCCGGCTCCAGGTGCTTCACACCTTCTCAGCTGCCTCCATGGCGTCAAGTTTACAGGTGGAGCCAAGCTGCCTTCTGCTGTGGGTGTCGGTGGCCCCCGGGCAGTTTCCTCAGCTGACCCTTGCCCCCATGGCAGTGCCCTCCCATTCTAGCCAGGATTTAGTGAGCAGTTCCCCTTGTGGCCACAAGGTGGCGAGGGCCTCCCGCGCTTGACTCGTCTCCCAGACCAGGGCCTGGAGCGCCTTGGAAATGACCCTAGACCCTTCTCGGCAGGGCAGTGCGGGGGGATTAGCGCTTCTCAGGGACTCTGGGGAGCTGCGAAGACAAAGGGCCAGACGCATCCTCCCAGCCAGGCTCTGAGGCCGCCTCCCTGACCCTCAGGCTCTGCCGCAGGGATTTCCCAGACCTTGCTCCTGGCCTGTTCTCAGCTCTCTAGGGTACACCCCCCCCCCCCGCCCCCGCCCTGTGTTCCCAGAATGCCTGGCCCGAGCCTGTCTGGGCCACCACACACACATGAGCACATGTGAGCACCCCCCGCCACAATACATGCCTGCACAGGCCCAGAGCACAGCTGCCAGATTAAGCAGGGCCTCAGATTAGCCTAAAGACAAACACAGTTTCTCTTTGTGACCGGAGGAGCGGGACAGTTTCTAGGGGTTGTGTTTAATGTGGCTGAACTGGGGGCCAGCAGCTGGCGTGAGGAGCAGGAGGTGAAGGGAATGTTCCAGGCCCCGCCCCACCCCCAGGGAGCCAGGATGACCAGCTGGGACGGGCTGGTCAGGAGCAGTGCTCCATCTCAGTTGTTACCCTTTGTCGGGTAATACAATGCAGGCTGGTGTCTGAGTCCCTTGTTAGGTAAGCCTGGAGGGCCCAACTGCTCTCCCCTGAGCCCGGGACACTCCTTCAGGCCACAGGGGAGACTGGGGTGCGTGCCAGGGTCCCCAGAGCAAAAGTCTCTTAATCCCATAGCACACACATGTCCGACCACACAGCACATCTGTCTTCTGACCCCACAGCACACTTGTGTCCTGACCCCACAGCACACATGTGTCCTGACCCCACAGCACATGTGTGTCCTGACCATATAGCACACGTGTATCCTGACCATACAGCACATGTGTGTCCTGACCCCGCAGCACATGTGTGTCCTGACCATACAGCACACGTGTGTCCTGACCCCACAGCACACATGTGTCCTGACCCCACAGCACACCTGTGTTCTGAGCTCAGTCCTGTAATGCACCCGCCCTTACTGCTGTATCCCCAGGTGTGGACAGGCAATGGGGTGAAGACTAAGGGGGTGACACTTCTCCTGTCCCCTGGGCTGAGTCGTTCTTGCTTCCAAAGAGGAGAGATTGGCCTCTGACGTCTCTGCTTGTGTAGGGGAGCAGAGGTGGTCAGGATGCCATTAGGGTTCCAAGATACTACTTCTTGCTCTGCCCTCGGGGAGCTATGTGCAGTGCTGAGTCTCACTGGGGTCCAGTCGCATGCACGGTGACATGCCTTTCCCCTCTCTCTCCCACTCCTGGACATTCCCTCTGACTTCAGAGCCCACATCCCCTCATCGTCCCAGAATCATTGCTTCTTCCAGCAACACTCCTCTCCCTCCTGCTGTCTTCACTCACTCTTCTGTGCACCCTCTCAGCCCCTTACTCCTCTGCCTCTGAGCTGGGGGAGGCCTGGACTTGAATTCTCTGAGGGATTGGAAAGGGTATAAGAAGGAAGCTCATATATATATATATATATATATATATATATATATATATATATGGAAACTCCTAATTTCACTCGGGAGAACCACCTTAGCCATCTTTCCCCTGACACACACACACCCTTAAGAATGATTCTCCTGGGGCTGGAGCAGCAGGTAGGGCGTTTGCCTTGCACGCAGATGACCCGAGTTCAACCGCTGGCATCCCATATGATCCCCCGACCACCACCAGGAGTAATTCCTGAGTGCAGAGCCAGGAGTAACCACTGAGCATCACCGGGTGTGACCCAAAAAGGAAAAAAAAAGAGTGATCCTCCTGGAAGCTGACTATCTGTCTCCTCGTCTACATTCATACTTCTCCCCTTGGCCAAGGGAACCAGGACTTAGACCCCACCCCTGGACCTGGTCTTCTGGGGTCCTCAAGGACTATTGGGAGTTTCCTCTGGCGCAGGTCATCATTCTGTGGTTGCAGGAGGCTTTCCTGCCTGCCTGAACCCTGCCCTGCCAAGCCCCAGCTTGATCCTAGGAACCCAGGGGGTCTAGCTCAGGAGGGTATGTGAAACCCCAGACACTACCCAGCCCTAACCTCAAGAGCAGGTGTGTGGATTTAATGAATGCTGAAGAATGAATGAGTGGATGCATGAATGCATGGATGCATGAATGGTGAGGGGTGGTGCCTGAGTGCGTGCTGCTGTGATCTGCTGCCAGCCGGAGAAGGAAGCATTGGAAAGGGTTTGGGTATCATACCCGGTGCCCAGGCATCAGGTCTCTGCAGACGCGTTCGCTCAGCCCAGGCATTCCCATGTGGTGGTGCCCACCCTCCTCAGCCCACTTTGCTCCCCCTTGGAATCCTGAGAGGAAACGTGCGTGTTGTGTGGAAGTGAATGGGGCTGGCCTGTGTCAGAATCCCCCGGGGAGAAAAAGACATAGCCCTGTTGGGACCCCAAGATGAGTTGCCGCAGAGCACTGCCTGGCAGCCCTGAAGCCATGAGTTTGATCCCCGGCACCACCTCACATGCTGCCTGAAATCCTGGAGGCCGTGCTCCTTGTGATTTCCCAGGGCTGCCACCAAGGGTGCTGCCAACCTTACAACAACATCAACAGCGGGAGGGAAGGAGCCACCTCTGTGCCCTTTCTCCTGCACCCCAGATCCCAGTTCTGGGGGGTCAATTCTCACATCAGTCTGGCATTAAAAGG